CCAGGAATTGATTCATGGCTTTTTATGCATTCCCTCAATGTGTTTTCTATCCAGCTCTACGAAATCAGTATTATTCACTCCATTGTATAGATGAGAAAACTGAGGCTCAGCCAGGTTTTATAACTTGCTCAAGATCACACGGGGCATAAAAGGCAGATCTGGGACTCAAACCCAGGACTATCTCCAGAGATGGCAATTTCGCCGGCTATACTGGTTTCGGCTCCCTGGGGTGCTTCCATCCCCATAGCAACAAGGAGAGGCACTCCTGTGCTGACAGCACTTCATAGTTTATGCAGGCCTTATTTTTTCTGCTCCTCACAACAGCCCTGTAGCAGAGCTGCGATCATCCCTACTTCGTAGATAAGGAAACTGAGACTCGGGCACGGGATGTGACTTGGCCAAGACTGCAGAGCCATTAAGTGGCAAAGTTGGGACTCAGATCCAGTTCTAGTGACTCTAAATGTCTCGTTGCTTTCCCTTGCAGAGTAAGAGGGTCCACTCCCTGCTCTTATCTGCCTCAGGGGGCAGGGAACAAACAGGCAGGGGTTACTTTTCAGAACTGGTGGGAAAGGCATGGGTTTGGCCTTCACAACCTGGGGACTTGGTTACCGGCAGTGAGTAATTTCATCCCTCCGGGTGATAACTCTAACTTCTCGGTGGAAAAGGGAGAGCTTGCTCCTCAAGAGCAGTTAAGCCCTCTCAGAGGCTGGGTTCAAATGCCAGCTGTGCTGCTTCCTGACTGGGTGGCCTTGGGCAAGTCATTTAACGTCTCCACACTTCCTTTATCTCATTTGTAAAATGAGGGTAATAACAGGACCTCACTCATAGGACTACTATGAGGATTTATGAGTTAATGCGTGTATACCACTTAGCACATGTTTGACACATAGTAAATGGTATGTGCAATGTTAGCACTTATTAATATTACTATTAAAGTGCTCAGCACCATGCCCTCGGAAAGCAACTTGTCTACATCCATTGCCTAAAAGGAGAAACTATGCCTCCTGTCGCCAGACAACCTTAAGCAAAGCTCCAGAATCTTACGTAGTGCAGGTAGTAACGCTGATATCGACAACAACAATTACTATTAAATGACTAATAAAGTTACTGTTACAGTCAACGATACTATTAAAGTTAACATTCAAGCGGCTTACTATGTGCTAATCACTGTGCTAAGTGCTTTGCATTTATTATTTCATTTAACTTTCACAGCTTTGGGAAATAAAAACAGTTACCTCAGTTTTACGGATCGGGAAACTGAGGCTCAGAGAGGTGAAGTCTCTTGCTCAAGGTCACACTGCTAGGAAGTGGTACAGCCATGATTTGATCCGGGCTTGCCTGGCTTCAAAGTCTTCCAAAACAGTTAAGGTCAGATGAGAACTGGCCCAGTGTATAGACACTTGTATCAGCTCTCTCCCAAACTTATCTGCTGGATCTGATGCCTCAGGCTCATCTCCTTCCATTCTGGGGAAGAACAAGCACCTTTTATGGAGTACCTTCTATATGCCACAACACTTCATTTTTATTTTTTTTTAAAGTTTTTATATATTTATTTTCAGAGAGAGAGAGTACAAGCAGGGGAGAGCCAGAGAGAGAGAGAGAGAGAGAGAGAGAGAGAGAGAGAATCCCAAGCAGGCTCCACACTGACAGCATGAAGCCTGATGTGGGGCTCGAACTCATGAACTGTGAGATCATGACCTGAGTGAAACCAAGAGTTGGGCACTTAACCAACTGAGCCACCCTGGTGCCCTTTTAATTTTTTTTTTAATTTTTAATTTTATTTATTATTTTTGAGAGACAGAGCAGGGGTAGGGGCAGAGAGAGAGAGAGGGAGAGACAGAATCTGAAGCAGGCTCCAGGCTCTGAGCTGTCAGCACAGAGCCCGATGTGGGGGCTTGAACCCACGAATTGTGAGATCATGATCAGAGCTGAAGTCAGATGCTTAACCAACTGAGCCAAGCCAGGCGCCCCTATGCCACAACACTCTATATACATTTCCATATTGAATCCTCACCCTTACCTGTTGACCCTTTATTATTATCCCCCTTTCTTAGAAAAGTAGATGAGACACAGAGAGGTGTGGTGACCGGTCAAGGTCACACAGCCCGAGGTGAGATGGCAGAGCCAGGATTCAAACCCAGGTGGGTTGGCCTCAAAGCTTGCATTCAGGGACTACCAGAAAAGTACAGAGACCCTTGGAAAACAGCCTCACTTTCAAAGCCAGGTTCTCTCCCCTGTAACACTTCATTTGTTCGGGACCCTGCATGAACTCTGCCCTCCTCCCCCGTTGCCACCTATCCCAATTGGCCTAGATGCCTTCCACACCCTTTCTCTTGGCCTGCAATACTTCTTCCAACCACCTGCTGCCTAGTTAACCCCCATTCATCAATTCACCTGAGATATCACCTCTTCAGAAAGTCTCCTCTGTCCCCACCCCATCCCAACATTTACCTCATCAGCACATTGTACTTTGCCTTCTTGTTCCTTATCACAGTTTCTAACTGTATTTTGATTCATCTGGTCATTTAATGACTTACTCACTTCCTCACTAAACTCTAAGCTCCATGAGGCTCTGTCTGTTTTGCCCACCATTGTAGCTGCATCACTGGTAGGCTGCTTATACATGGTTGGTGCTTAGTAATTTTTTTTAAATTTTTTTTTTAACATTTATTTATTTTTGAGAGAGAGAGAGAGAGAGAGAGAGAGAGAGCATGAACAGGGGAGGGTCAGAGAAAGAGGGAGACACAGAATCTGAAACAGGCTCCAGGCTCTGAGCTGTCAGCACAGAGCCCGACGCGGGGCTTGAACCCACGGACCGCGAGATCATGACCTGAGCCGAAGTCGGCCGCTTAACCGACTGAGCCACCCAGGTGCCCCGGTGCTTAGTAATTTTAAGTAAGCTCTACGTCCAACATGGGGCTTGAACTCACTGACCCAGAGATCAAGAGTTGCAAACTCTACCTACTGAGCCAGCCAGGAGCCCCGGTGCTTAATAATTTTTTATTGAATAGATGAATCCATGAATGAATAGACAGGTACTTTACACACATGACTCATTAATTCCACAATTAACTCATTGAATCCTCACAACGGCCCTGTTGTCCCTATTTATTTATTTATATTTTTAACTGTGATGTGGATATATTTATATAATTTTTTTTTTTTTTTTTTTTTTTTTTTTTTTTTTTTTTTTTTTTTTTAGCAGTGATGTCTGTTGTCCCCATTTTAGAGAAGACATAGATGAGGCTCAGCGAGCTAGAAAGTGCTAGATCTTGGATTCAATCTCAGGTCAGGCTGCCCCCAAACCATTGACTTCTGTACAGCACCTGCTGCCTCCCAGCAACCAATGGCCACAGTCACGATTTAAATAGTCATTGGGTGTCAGAAAATAGTCATTGCTTGTCAGACCACAAGTCCCAATTTGCGCCTGGAGGTCACTGACTCAGCAGCACTGAGGCTCTGTCAGCACCACGCACGCACTTGGTGGTCTCTGCCCTTCTAAAGTCTTAGGCTGCTTCCCCTCCCTCTCCCATCTTGGCTTCCTTCCTTTCCAGAGAGGGAAAAGGACTAGGAATTGCAGCCAAGGCAGCTCTTCTGGGAAAAACAATCCTGCAATGAAAAGAGCCCTGTTCTGAGAGCAGAGAGACCTGCATTTAAGTCTTGGCGTGGAAGCTGCCCTGCTGAGGGCCCACAATGGTGTCATTGCCCCTCTGTGTCCTTGTCTGGGATTCTGTCTGGGTTGCTGACCCACCTGCCATCCCCTACTCACCTCCTGATTCCTAGGACCCTAGAAACAGCTGGGGCCTATGGTGACCAGAGAGATGGGGGGCTGGCCTGTCACCCTCATGACACTCTCTGTTATGCTAACGGGTTGGTGGAAGTAAGGCTTTCTCAGGGGACACCAGGCCTGGAAGGAGAAGTGCAGAAATGGAAGACAAAAGATACAGATTTGAGTCCCAGGGTTGTTTCAAATTCCCCGGGGGGCGACCCTGGGTAAGTCATGGAGTTCTTGGTTTTCTCTTCTGCAGAACGAGGACAGAGGACAGTATCTGCCTGACAGAGTTGCTCTAGAGAACTGAATGAGAGATCTTCGCTAACATGTGAATTTGTCACATTGCTATCCAGCTGCAGCCTTTTACAATCAACAAGGCGCACATATACCCAACTCAGGAATGTAGCCTCAACAAACGCCAAGACATGAGGCAGACATGACTGTTTCTATTTTGCAGAAGGACAAACTGAGGCCCAGATAAGTTCAGGGAGTTGTCTGAGGTCGCAGAATGAGACGGCGGCCGAGCCAGGGTCCCGCTCACCTGACCCCGGCCTTTCAGAACCACCTGCCCGTCCCAAGACGCCAGGCCTCGCCCCGGAAGGATCTTTTAGCAGCCGGCTGGAGCCTATGACTCACTCTCCCCTTCCTACTTTCGGTGGGGCCTGAGAGCCGGAGGGAAGGGACAAAACTATCTGCAGTTTGAGGGGTGTCCTCTGAAAGTTCATGGGTTTGTTCCCTTCTTTCCACCAAAAATCCTGGTTCTTTGAACTCTAACAAGAAGAACTCCTCTTTCAATACACTTTGTACGAGTTTCTACACTTTCTTAAGTGGGGTTTTCCTACCCCGAATTTAGGAGTTGATTCAGTTTAATCTCCACCCCTACTCCACTTGGTTTGCTCCCCCGCTGTTTACTCCGATTGCGGAAGTAGCTCGGGTGGAGCTCCCCAGAAGGTACCCTTGAGTACGTCTTTTGCGTATCTATTTAACTGGCACTCCACTCAGGCCAATGGAATGCCCGGAAGCCCCAGCAGGGTGGGGCAGAGAGCCAATCAGGGCCGTTGGCGGGGTGGGGCTGCGTCCCAGGGCGGGGAATCGCGTAATGGCGGACGCGGGCCGGGCGAGCGCGGCTGGGGGCGTAGCGCGCTGAGGGGGGTCTGGCTGTGTGGCGTCCCGGGAGGCGGCCAGCGGGAACGGACCCCGCGCGGAGAAGGGCGGCTGGCCGGGCCCTCTGTCGCTGAGGGCGGCCGCGCGAGACCAGGTGAGCAACAAGTCCCCGCGGGCGGGCCCCGCCGTGAGGCGCCGGGCCGGGCCGCCACCCTCCCCCCACCTCCCCGCCCCGAGCCTCGCAGGGTCCTGAGGGAGTGGATGGCGTGCCTATTGCCGCGGACCGGCAGTGGCCGGGCGAGCGGTCAGCGCGGGTAGCGTCTTCCTCTTCAGTCCCCTCCCCAGG